AGAGGCGAATCAGGCTGGAATACCGAGCAGAAGAGCCCAGCTGCATCTCCGGAACAAAGCTGGTTAGGAGGCGATAAAAATCATGTCGAAATCCGCCTCGGTGAAGCGAACTAACATGCTGATCCCGCTGAGGGTTTTGATAAGACCGATGCGAGGTCGAAACTGCAGTCCACTGGGGCCTGGGTGAGAAAAACTTTTGGGAAAGCAAAGCTGTGTGAAATTGAATGGAAACGTCAGCTCAACTCATATCATTGTGGGAAAATTCTACTACCAGTTCTTCAGAATCATCAAGTCAAGGAGACTAACTGGCCTTTTCTTGCGGCCCATATAAATAAATGTATAAAGTTATAGAATATTTGGGTTATTTCTCCTTCATCTTAATCATATACATGGAAGCCTGTGCGCGCTTGTGCGTGTGTTGACGTCTTCCCGACAACAATGTAAACACAAAATAGTTGGCAAACGGCACTAGTGAACCCATGTACAAATAGCCTCTTGGAGAAGAGGGTCAAAATGGTTGTGTAGACTTTGATTTGATTGGCTCAGCCGCCGCTTGAGGTGGTCGGTTTGCGAGGACCCAACTAACTCTTGCATGGCCCGCCAAGAGAATGGCCCTGGTGACAGGGAGGCGGAGGAAAAAGCGTGTTACCTTGACACTTTCCAACATAGGCGATGAGAATCTCCATCTGCCGCAGCTGGCTGGCCTTGACGAGGTGGCAGGTGGTCGGGTACCACAGATTGTCGACTCCGCAGACGCCCTCCGGCGGGAAGTAGTTGATGGCGCAGCCGGGACTCGGCTCGGAGTAGTCCGGCTCGCAGGCCGGCATGGCGTTGAACTGTCGAATGAGGCAGTGGAAGCCGGGCTGGCAGAGCACCTGCACCGGCTGGACGTCGTTTCGCCTCGTCCCGACGCTACCGTCCGAAGCCGGGGCCACATCCCGACGCAGCCGTGAGCCCCGCAGCCCGACTGCATCCGATTCGCCCTCGCCGTCGGCGTCGGCGTCGACGTCGAGTCGACGTCTGTCGGTCGGTCGAGGCGTGTGCAGCCGCATGTGCAGATGCGTGGCCCGACGGAAGCGCAAGAGTCGCGGCTCGGACGGCGACGCGTCGAGCGTCGACGAGAGCCGGACGAATTGGACGACGCTGTCGGCGAGGCCGGCGTCGGTGGAGGGTCGCGAGGTGGTCTGGCGCGAGCCGCTGGCGCGTCGCGAGCGCAGTCGCAACGAGGAGGAGCGCTGTCGCGGCCGTTTGGCCGGCGCGCCGGCCAGCTCCGATTGCGTGTAGAAGCGCAGGCTGTCGTCGCCGTTGACGTCGCCGTCGCCGTCGCCGTTGGCGTTAGCCGCGGACGGCGAGGCGGCCGGCAAAGTGGCCGGAGTCGGGTGGCCGTTGGCGGGGCTGCAGACGAAGAGTGGCGGAGAGGCGGGCTCGGTCGACCAACGGGCCGCGCTCGAGGCCTGGCTCCGAGACCCGGCGCCGGCCTCGGGACAGGCCACCTCGTCGTAGGGGAAGGTGCTCAGGGCGCGGCAGCGCTTGTGCGTCAAGAGACAGCGGTTCGCGTACACTCGCCCCTCGCGGCTGCACACCGGCCCCGAGGCCTCGTCCTGCGGGAGGCAGGCGTCGGGGCACCGACAAGTCGGAGTCCCGGCAACCATTTGGCAGACGTTGTCGGGCGGACATTGCTTGCCGGCGCAGCCGGGGCTGTCTGTGGGGGGGAAAGGGGGAAAGCGAGAAAACTCGGTTCAACAAGAAAAGCCGGTCAGTGCGGCGATGGGCAACCGGGCAACCGAGTGGTTGTCAGGGTCAATTTGGATGGATCGAACCAAAACGAACTCGGAATAATAGTCAGCAGTAGTATGCTTCGAGACTATCAGTAGTGCCCGGCGTCACAGTCTTTTTTGGCTCGTAAAACTCCCGTTCTTGACGTTTTATTGGCTTCGGTGTCTCTTCAACCAGCCATGCCATATCTCCACTTGACAACTCTTCAGAATGACGCCAAAATGAGGCAAGTTTGCCACCTGAGTCTGGTTACCGGATGGTAATTTTTCCACTTAGCTCACTCCACAGTCCAGTCAACCCGTCTACTCAATCCTCTTGAAGCAGCAAACAAGTCTGTCGTCATTGTCATCAATTTGGCCAGACCGGCTCGGAGAAACACGGCCTCGAAGATACTGAAACTCAAATAAACCCAAACATGCACATACGCATGCCTGTTGCACTAAAATGACGAAATGGGCAAAAGGTAAAAAATTTCCTGTCACTTTGCCGATTCGAATAATCATACATTTGGTAGGAGTGGACACCCCTTTGTTCTGCAATCTGTGTGTGTATGTGTGTGTGTGCATCGGTGTAGGAAGATGGGGTGGAGTAAGCTTATGGATGTCATCCGGAACTGTCTCCAGAAGCCTTGACTACAAGCAACCATTTGAGTTTTTGCAATCCCCATCAGTTTAAGTCGTGAAAAAGGTCTTCAAAAGTGTTCTGTCACTGCACAAATAAAATGCATTTTTTGTCAACATTTTCCGTTGTCATTTATTTGTAATAAACTTGCTAATATTTCGACATACGAAAAAAAAAAATTCTACCCCAGACCCATGACACTTCTCACCTTGGCCTGCGTAGATGAGACTTTGAACAGAGGCCCCTGAGCGAGAAGGTTCCGGTCAGAAGGGTAGAGCCAAAATATTCTCGGAATAATAGTCAGCAGTAGTATGCTTCGAGACTATCAGTAGTGTATAAATAAGCAGTAATGAATTTCACACAGCCTTGAATGCATAATGAGTCGGCTTCAAGACTATCGGAATGAGTGGATAGTGAAGAAGAGCTGAATTCAAGCCGTGTCGCATAAAGTGGGCAAGGACGAGTATTTGCATTTTCCCAAATGGCTTCAACTTTGTGGGAAAAATAGGCAGACACTGCTTCATCGACTCGTGACATCTTGACGGAATACATCTCTTATTCATTTCGTCTGGCCTTCCAAAAGGTCTTCTCATCCTCAGCACGGACAGACGAATGACAAACAAACAAACATCGAATATCGTCAGTCTGTGTGTGAATTCTGCCAAATGCACGTTTCTGCAAAGAAAAGTTGGATTTCATTCAATCTCTCGGACGACAATTGCTCAGCTCGTCTCCATTTCAAGCGAAAGTGTGTGACAAAGAGACCGGAATGTGGATCCGGTGAAAACGAACAATGCCTACGTCCGTCATTAGACTGCATCATCACAGCAGAGATTTATTCTCATAATCAGTTTTCAAAGAGGCGATTTGCAAAAATACCGGCCAATCCCAATTCTAAATAAATATTAATATATATATGAATTGATATAAATAAATAAACATATATATGCATTTGTATGACTACTTGTAATTCATGCCAATGGAGAAGCATGTGCGTATGTGTGTCTGTGTGTGCTCGGCAATCTCGCTGAGATGAGAAGAACTTGTGCAAAGCAAGCCTGAGTCGCGATTGAAGTCAGGTCAGGTCAGGTCAGGTCAGGTCAGGTCAGCGCTGAAATGGCGATAGATTCGCCGCAGTCCAAGTTGGTCGGTCTACATCTTCACACAAAATGATATTTCCGAGTAAGTGGAAAAGAGCACAAACAATTGTCCTGTCTTCATCAAGACCTAATCACATCCACATTGTAGCCTTCGCAGGAAGTTGGTACCGACATCGTCAACAGTTCTCAAAGTAGGCTTCCGGTCACCCTTGGGTGGGATAACAGAGCAAGGAATGATGCCTGAAATTTCCCATAATCAGATGAGTAGTTCCTACACCTTCATTGAAGTTCCCTTGACCTTGCTTCCTGAAGGGTTTTCTTATTCAGCATGAACCTCCGTTTCCACCTCGTCCGAGTCTCGACGGCAACCTCATCGCAACTGTCAGCCGGACTCAAACCCAAGTTGTGTCGCGTATACTTTCGACTCGTGCTTACCTACTTTCGAGGAATAATTGTAAGATAGTCTATTCTAATGACGAAACACAAGTCTCCTTCATCTGCAATGC